ACTACTACTACTACTACTACTACTACTACTACTACTACTCCCACTACTACTACTACTACTACTACTACTACTGCTACTACTACTACTACTACTACTATTACTACTGCTACTGCTACTACTACTACTACTACTACTACTACTACTACTACTACGACTACTACTACGACTATTACTATTATTGCTACCACTATCGCTGCTAGTGGTAGTGGTAGTTTGTTGGTTGCTTCAGAAATCATGAAAGTTTTGTCCTGCCGGATGTCGCACACGTATTGTTTGTAGCCACGATTTAGTCACGGACGGGCAATATGCCCCGCCGCCGTTCCGCGATGCTAAGAGAACGTTCCGTGCTGGGTAAGGGCGATGCCCCAGGAGGGGGGGCCACCCCATTAGGACGGCCGACGAACGTCAATGTTTCAGTGGGTTCTGTAGTAGGAACTGTTTAGGACGGGGACGGTGAGGAGAACGTGCAAGGAAGGCTGAACCCCGTCTCGAAGTATTTACGAAAACTAATACACTCACGACTACGGCGACTACTATTGCTACAACTCTTATTCTTAGTATTATTTGTAATACGATTACTGCTGCTACTATTACTACTACTACTACTACTACTACTACTACTACTACGGCCACTACTACTACTACTACTACTACTACTACTACTACTACTACTACTACTACTACTACTACTACTACTACTACTACTACTACTACTACTACTACTACTACTACTACGCTACTACTACTACTACTACTACTACTACTACTACTGCTACTACTACTACTACTACTACTACTACTACTACTACTACTAGTACTACTACTACTACTACTACTACTACTACTACTACTACTACTACTACTATTTACTACTACTACTACTACTACACTACTACTACTACTACTACTAACTACTACTACTACTACTACTACGACGACTACGACGACGACGACGACGACGACGACGACGACGACGACGACGACGACGACGACGACGCCTACTACTACTATTACTACTACTACTACTACTACTACGACTACTACTACTGCTACTACTACTACTACTACTTTTACTACTACGACTACTACTACAACGACGACTACTACTACCACTGCGATTGCGACTACTACTACTACTACTACTACTACTACTACTACTACTACTACTGCTACTACTACTAGTACACTACTACTACTACTACTACTACTACTACTACTACTACTACTACTACTACCACTACTACGACTACTATTGCTACTACTACTACTACTACTACTACTACTACTACTGCTACTACTACTATTACTACCATTACTACTACTACGACTACCACGACGACTTATACTACTACTACTACTACTACTACTACTACTACTACTACTACTACTACTAGGACGATCACAGGGTAGCACTATTACTACTCACTCGAGTACTCCCACAAATCTTGCGGTGGCGTGTTTATTATTTGCATGGCCGCTGCACTGCGTTACGACATATAACTTCCAGTCAGTATCAATAGTTGTACGCCTACGATCACTACTTCTGCAACTAAGTATTCGCACCCGTGCGGCTAGCGTTACATCTAATTTCATTACTACACCAGTACGTTGCCAACTACATGTTGTAGTTCCATTGTCCCACTATCATTGATACGACTACTCGCGGACGGGGCATACTTATTTTTGCCATTCCGTGGTGCTGAGACAACTCTCCGTGCGGGGCGGGAGCGATACCTTGGAGTGGGCCACCCCTTGAGACGGCCGACGAGCATCAATTTGGCATGGGCCCTGCAGTAGGAATCGTATAGGACGGAAGGGTGAGGAGAAACAATTTCAGCATTATTACAACATTCCACGACTCCTTTTATTATTCATTCTGCTACTACCATTGAATATTATTACGGTTATTGTTATGACGTCCACTATTACAACCACAGCACGCGCGCGCTGAGCGGCGAGGCCAGCGCACTGTGGAACTCGGCGAAGCCAGCTCACTGTGAAACTCGTGTGGAACACGAGCCGCCCTCAACCGTGAACTTCGTGCAAATGTTCATAACGAATGTGCGCGGCGCTAAGGCGAGAACAACCTGTTGAACATGAGCCGCCCTCAATCCGCGAAGCCCGTGCAAATGTTTAAAACGAATGTGCGCTGCGCTAAGGCGATAGCTGCATTTTGAAAAAGAGCCGCCTTCAATCCGCGAAACTCTTGCAAGTTGTTGGAACATGTGGGCGGCGCTAAGGCCAGAGCCATATTTTGAAAGCGGGCCTTCCTCAATCCGTGAAATTCGTGCAACTTTTTAAATGGATGCGCGCGGCGAGAACAACATTTTGAAAACAAGCCGCCCTTAATCCGTGAAGCTCTTGCAAACGTTCAAAACGAATGTCAGCGTCCTTGTGTTCTTGCCGCCCTTGTTTTTTTGATAAGTGCCGATTGCGGGGGGGGGGTCGGTGGATGTTTTGTTTTGGGTTGTTTGGCACGGTGCTACAATTTCGTGCGGCTAGAATCTCCCCGTGGATTTGTTGCGGAGTGCTGGCGATAACGGCGAAAGGGGTTCTTACATTCTTCGTGAGTTGTTCTTAGCAAGAGCAGCAGAAACGGAGGAGAGAAAGAGAGAGAAAGGAAAGGTTAGAGAGAGGGAGAGGGGAGAGGGAACGGGAGAGAGACAGAGAGAGAGAGAGAGAAACAGAGAGAGAGAGAGAAAGAGAGAGAGAGAGACAGAGAGACAGACGGAGAGGGAACGGAAGAGGGAGCGGGAGAGAAAGATATATATATAATATATATATATATATATATATATATATACATATATATACACATATATATATATTGGTACATGTAGAGAGAGAAAGAGAGAGAGAGAGAGAGAGAGAGAGAGAGACCGAGACAGAGAGGGGAGAGAGACAGATAGAGGGAGAGGGAGAGGGAGAGGGAGAGAGATAGAGGTAAAGAGAGAGAGAGAGAGAGAGAAAAACAACATGAGGAGGGAGAGAGAGAGAGAGAGAGAAAGAAGGAGAGAGAGAAAGAGAGAGAGAAAAGACAAAAACGAGGGATGAGGAGGAGGAAGGAGGTAGGAGGTAGGAGAGAAGGAGGAGAGGAATAGAAAGAGGATGGGCGGGCTCACTTCCCCCGGCGGCGCCGGCGGTGGTGCCCCAGCAGCGATCGGGAGCCGCGCCGCCCGCGGGGCGGAGGAGGAGGAGGAGGAGGGAGGAGGGAGGAGGGGGAGGGGCCTCTCCTGTCCCGCGTCCGCACCCCGGGAGGGTCCCAGGTACCACGGGGCGGGTCCCGCGTCCCACGAAGGCGGGTCCCGCGTCCGCATCCCACGGAGGCGGGTCCCGCGTCCGCATCCCACGGGGGGGGGGTCCTGCGTCCGCGTCCCGCGCGGGGTCCCGCGTCTGCGTCCCACGGGAGGGCCCGCGTCCGCGTCTTGCAGGAGGTTTCCCGCGTCCCATGAGTGGGGGGGGTCCTGCGTGAGGCCTCCGCTCGCGAGGGCTCCCTGCAGGAGCCACGAGGGCTTCGAGTGGCCGGGTTGCTCCTGCTTGTCCTGCTCGTCGTCTTGGGGCTTTCCCTGTCCCAGCCGACGGGTCCTGGGCCTCGATCCAGGTCCATCGTCCGGGGCCCAGGGGTCCAGGGGCCCAGGGTCCAGGGGCCCATCAGATGAGGAGGAGGAGGAGGAGGAGGAGGAGGAGGAGGAGGAGGAGGAGGAGGAGGAGGAGGAGGGAGGAGGAGGAGGAGGGGGGGGGAGGGGGGGAGGAGGAGAAGGAGGAGGAGGAGGAGGAGGAGGAGGAGGAAGAAAAAGAAGAAGAGGAGGAGGAGGAGGAGGAGGAGGAGGAGGTGGGCGACAAGGCGACAACGAGGAGGAGGAGGAGGAGGAGGAGGAGGAGGAGGAGAAGGAGGAAGAGGGGGCCAGGCCGACAGGGTCGCGTCCGGTCTGGTTCGTCCGCTTGGGTTCGTCAGGCCGGTTCGGTCCGGTCAGTTCGGTTCGGTTTAGCCGTTGGCGCGGTCCAGTTCGGCCGGTTCGAGTCGAGGGCCGGTCCAGCTCGGCCATTTCGGTTCGAGGACCGGTTCTCGGTCTTCGGTCCAGTTCACGGCCATTATGTTGTTAATTATGGTGAAACATATGGCACACCCGCTGTTGCAACCGACGATTTGGTTGCCTGCGGGGTGTTTGGCGAGATCTGTGGCGCAACTCGTGGGTCACCCGTTCAGGCAACAGGGGATGTGGTTGCCTGCAGGATGTTTGGCGCAACCTATGGCGCAATCGATGGCGCACGTACTGAACCAACGGACGGTTTGGTTATCTGCGTGGCGTATAGGGTAGCTTGTGACTTAACGTCTGGAATACCCGCTGAGGCAGCAGACGATTTGGTTTCCCGCGAGATATCTGGCGCCGCTTGTGGCGCAACTTCCGGCACAGCCACCGAGGCAACGGACGTTCCCGCAGGGTGTCTTGCGCAACCTATGGCCCAACCTATTGCGCAACGCTTGGCACACTTATTGAGGCAACGGACGATTTGATTGCTCGCGAGATGTCTGGCGCAGCACATCCACAGAGGTAGCAGACGATTTGGTTGTCCATGGGGTATCTGGCATTTGGATTGTGGTTGTCCTTTTGCGGGCAAGATTTTTGCGACTACCTTTTCCTGCTGGCACGGCGCAGGCAGCCCACGATTCCCCCGCGATCGGCCTTCCACTAGCCGCGAGAGCCTGCATTCCCTGACCCAGCAATTTCTTTCACGACATGCCCGCGTTTAGCGTTGGAATGGGAGGCCGCGTCCCCGATTCTGACGGAAGGCTGCGCAGACGGATTCGCGTGCACATTGTAAGCTTCCGCTCGGCCGCCACACTTTCCACATTCTGGGCACCGTGCCTCCATCGGGAGCTGCTCTCGGCGCCCGGGCCCCTCCAAGGATAGGGGGCGCTCGGAGGGGACAGCGACGTGCGCGCGGGGCTCCTCCCTTTGACTCCGTTCCTGACGTTGCAATGATATGTCCTCCCGAAGGCCGCAGTTTCCACAGCCCCGGGCTCCAGCACGGCCGCGGTTCCAGCGCAGGCGGAGGGGGGGCAGGGGCAGCGTGGTACTCCGTGCAGCTGCCAGCCTCCCAAGCTCCTGTCCTCGTCCTCCCCTCCCCCCTTCCTCCCCTCTCCACATATTATAATTTGTTTCTTCCGCCCTCTCCCTCTCTTCCTCATCTTTTCCCCGCCACCACCTGCTCTCCAACTCCTCCTCCTCCTCTTCCTCCTCCTCCACCTCCACCTCCACTGTCCCCCGCCCACACCTCGTCGTCGTCAGTATCCTCCTCCTCCTCGTCGTCGTCGTCGTCAGCAGCAGCAGCAGAATCGTCATCAGCATCGGCACCATCATCATCATCATCATCATCATCATCATCATCATCATCAGCATCAGCATCAGCATCAGCATCATCAGCATCAGCATCATCAACATCATCATCACCAGCGTCATCATCAGCATCAGCATCAACATTATAATCATCATCATCAGCATCAGCATTAGCATCATCATCAGCATCATCAGCATCAGCATCAGCATCACCATCATCATCATCATCATCATCATCATCATCAGCAGCAGCAGCAGCATCATCATCATCATCATCATCATCATCATCATCATCATCATCATCCGTAGCCATTTGGGCTCAGGCCTTTTCCGTAGGCCCCCTGCTCCTGGACCTTGTCCCTTTGAGGGCCTCGGGGGGGCAGGGCTCTTGGCTCACGGAGCGATGGTGGCACGGGATGGCGCGGAGTGCGCGCCAAGGCGATCGGAGGCCCAGCGCAGGGCAGGCCGAGAGTGGGCGAAGTGGTCCGCCGACAATGCCGTCAGGCGGCTCTCGGGCGAGCTGGCCAAGACCCGATCTCGCCTGGAGGCCGCGGAGGAGGCCCTGTGCGCCGTCATCGGCGACGGCGAGGTTGGGCAGCGACTGCAGACGATGCTCCCCGCGCTGCAGGCCAACCTTGGGGGTAGGTCCCCCACATGGCTCGAGCGCCTGCGGCGTAATGTCGCCCTCCACGCTGAGGCGCAGGGCGTGGACATCGTGGCGGCGGGAGCGGCGGAGCTGCGCTGTGCCCAGCGGGGGCCCCGGCTGGAGGGGCGCGCGGCGCCCAGGCGTGCGAGGACTGGTCGGAGTGCGGCGGCCTTGGCGGCTGCATGGGCTTCCTGTCTGCGCGCGAGCTCCTGGAGGCGGGGGCCGCCTCTCGGACCTCCCTCGCCGCGGCCAGCATCCTCCTGGGGGTCCCGTTCGAGACCCCGTACCAGCTCGCGGGCGTCGCGGGCTGAGTCGCCGTGACTGCTCGGGTGTCGTTTCCCGCCTGCTTCGGCTGGGGCGGGGGGCGGCTTCTCGGCACTCAGGCGAATCTGCGTGTGTGCCTTGGGCACGAGACCGTGCGTTGCCTCTGCAGGGCCAAGGGGAAACGCTTCGGTCCGAGGAGCAGTGCGAGCTAGGAACTCTGGACCTAGACGCGTGGATCATCATCATCATCATCATCATGATCATCATCATCATCATCAACAACATTATCTTCATCATCATCATCATCGTCATCGTCATCCGTATCATCATACTCGTTGCGACTGCGAGTGTTATCATCGACGTCTCGGATCACGTGAGGATAAAGGGACATGTCCCATCAATATCCTACTACATCATCAAGACGCACTATGTGTAGTGGCAGCCGGAGCGCGATGCAGGCAGCGAAGGAGAGAGAGAAAGAGAGAGAGTCGGAGAGAGAGGCAGAGAGGGGGAGAAAGGAGAAGAGACGGAAGACACAGGGGAGCGGAACATGGAGCGCACCACGACTCGCATCACGATTGTGACGCAGGAAGCGGTTTGCATCACGATTGAGACGCACACCGCGCCTACCTGAACATTCCGTGTATGATGTGCCGAACCCGGGAATCCAAGCGAGCAGTCGCGAGAAATCTCGAGCGGAAGTGAGACATGCCCCGGGCGGTAGGCTACACCACCTGGGACGTTCTAGCATGTTGAAACATCCCCCAAACCGCCTCATTGACCAAGGCAGCTGGACCCCATGGCTTTCCTGGAGGGTCATTTCTGCTGGCTGGACCCCCTGGTTTTCCCGGTGGGTCCTCTCTGCCGTAATGTCTGCTGCTGTGCGTACCACCGCCCATGACTCTAATCACTTCTCCGGTCATTCAATTTTTGATGCCGGTTATTTTCCAGTCACGGCTCGAGCAGTGGAGCATCCGATCATCATCATCGCCATCATCATCATCATCGTCATCGTCGTCATATTCAACATCATCAACAACATAATCCCCCTCCTCGTCGTAATCCTCATTCTCGTCAGCAGCCGCAACATTAATAGCCTTAGCATCATCAGCATCATCAATATCATCATCAGCATCACCGTCATCATCATCACCATCGCCATCGTCCCCATCATCACCACCACCATCATCGTCTTCATTGTACTCAATAATTATCAGCGTCACCATCATCACCATCAGCATCATCATGACTCCCACTATCATAATCGCCATCGTCCTTCTCTTCATCAACATCGGCATCATCATCATCATCATCATCATCATCATCATCATCATCATCATCATCATCGAAAGAGCGTGTTCTACTTCTGTTGGCGGAAAACCAGGACCGGGGGGGGTCACTGGGGGTTCCCAACCCGTCCCCCCCCCCGTTCGAAAACCGGGGGGATCACTGCCGGTTCGACCCCCCCCAGTTCCCCCCCCCGGTCCATCATGAAACGGTGTGGGGTCACAACCGGTTCGACCCTTCCCCCCTTTCCCCGCCGGCAAACGATTACCGCTCCTCGGGACAGTGGGACAGTGGTGGGGACATTGGGACAGTGGTGGGGACGGTGGTGGTGGGGACAGTGTTGGGGGGACAGTGGGACTGTGGTGGGGACGGTGGGACAGCGGTGGGGACGGTGCTGGTGGGGACAGTGGTGAGGGGGCAGTAGGACAGTGGTGGGGACAGTGGTGGGGACTGGGACAGTGGTGGGGGCGGTGGTGGTGGGGACAGTGGTGAGGGTGGTCGTGAGTGCGGTGTTGGGACAATGGGAAAGAGGTACCCTGTGGGAAGTGGTGGGGACAGTGGGGACAGTGGTGGGAACAGTGGGGACACTGGGACAGTACAGTGCGACGGCGGTGGGGACAGTGGGACAGTGGTGGGGACAGTGGGGACACTGGGGGGCATAGCGGGGACAATGGAGAGAGTGGGACCGTGGTGGGGACAGTGGTGGGGACAGTGGGACAGTGGTGGGGATGGTGGTGGTGGGGACAGTGGTGTGGGGACAGTGGGACAGTGGTGGGGACAGTGGGGAGGGTGGTGGGGACGGTGGTGGTGGGGACAGTTGTGAGAGCGGTGAAGAGGACGGTGGTGGGACAATGGTACAGTGGTACAGTGGGGACAGTGGTGGGGACAGTGGTGGGGACAGTGGGGACAGTGGTGGGAACAGTGAGACAGCTCAGTGGGACGGCGGTGGGCGGGGAGAGTGGGGACAGTCGGGCGGTGGTGGGGACAGTGGGACAGTGGTTGGGACAGTGGGGACAGTGGGGAGAGTGGGACCGTGGCGGGAACACTGTTGGGAACAGTGGTGGGGACACCTGGGACAGTGCGACAGTGGTGAGGGCACTGGTGGGGACAGTGGGGACAATGGTGGGAACAGTGAACAGTGGGGACAGTGGGACAGTGGTGGTGGGGACGGTGGTGCTGTGGAGAGCGGTGAGGGCGGTGGTGAGGACGGTGGTGGGGACCCGGGAGTCATTTGCCGGCGGTGAGTAGTAGGTGGGGAAGGGGGGGCTTCGAACCGGTAGTGACCCCCCCCCGGTTTTCTGGAGGGGGGGGGAGTTCGAGCAGGGGGGGGGGATATTTTCGGAGGGGGGGGGGGACCTCCAGGTTCCAGAGGAAGAGGCGGGAATTTTCCACATTAAAGCGGCGGTGGTTTCTCATCATCATCATCATCATCATCATCATCATCATCATCATCATCATCATCATCATCATCATCATCATCATCATCATCACCACCACCACCACCACCATCATCAGCAGCAGCAGCATCATCATCATCATCATCATCGTCATCATCTTCATCATCATCATCATCATCGTCATCATCGTCATCATCAACATCATCAACATCAGCATCAGCATCAACATCATCATCATCAGCAGCAGCAACATCATCATCATCATCATCATCATCATCATCGTCATCATCATCCGTCTCCTCCCCCTTCTCGTCGTTCTCGTTATTTTTTATCCGCTGGCGCAGGCAGAGGCGGGCGGGCTCTCCATGGAGCTGCCGGATTCCGCTGTCTTTCCGAGGCACACCACCGCCAGTTCGAGGGGATCCCATTCTCCAGCGCGTCGGGTGGGCTCGGTAGTGTCAAGGCCCGGTGGCGAGGAGAAGGGGGAGGGGGAAGGGGCGGAGTTGTGGAGGTTGAGGAGGAGTAATTAAGAGCAGAAGGAGAAGGAGGAGGAGGAGGAGGAGGAGGAGGAGGAGGAGGTGGAGGGAGGAGGAGGAGGAGGAGGACGAGCAGGATGAGGAGCAGGAGGAGGAGGAGGAGGAGGAGGAGGAGGAGGAGGTGCAGGGGGGGAGGAGGTGGAGGAGGTGGAGGAGAAGGGGCGGAGGTGGAGAAGGAGGAGGAGGAGGAGGAGTGAAGAGGGAGGAGGGAGGAGGGAGGAGGGTGGAGGAGGAGGAGGAGGAGGAGGAGGGCGAGGAGGAGGAGGAGGAGGAGGAGTAGGAGGAGGAGGAAGAGGAGGGCGGAGTGGTGGGCGGAGCAGAAAGAGGAGACCGCCCTCCAGGTCAAGCACCGGGCAGACTGGAATGTCCAGCCAGTCGAGCCAGCTGAGGGAGACAATTGTGCTCACCAGGCGCGACATCGCACGCGCCGACGACCCAACGAGGGGTGTGATCGGGTCAACGTCGAGGCTGACGACGCCAGTCATCAGGTCTGCTCGGGACGTGTACCTGAGCGAGGAGGGCCGCAGCACCGCAATAGTTCGGAGGATCTCGCTCCTGTCGAACAACTCCTTGCTGTCAGCCATGGGCCACGTCTTCTGCTGGACCGGATCTGGCCAGACGAAGAGGCGGTGCACGCCGCTGCACCCGTCGTCACAGGTGCGCCTGGCGATTGACCTGCTGAGCCTCGTTGCGCTGCTGTACGACCTTGTCACGGTGCCATTCCTTCTCCTCCTTCTCTTCCTCGTTTATTTTCCCCTTCCTATTGGAGAGGGAGGAGCCGCAGCAGGCCGAAGAGGAGAAGGAGCACACTGACACATGAAACAAAGGTGCCTTACTTGCTGGCCTTCGACACGCCGCTCCAGGGCGCCCTGCTGGCCATATCGAGCGTGACCATCGCGTTCTGGACAGGGAACGACAAGCAAGAGGGGGAAGGTTGATGGAACAGATAAGCACCCCCCCCTCCCCCGCAACTCAACTTTGGCACGTTTGCGCGATACTGCTCGGACACTCAAACTCGGAATAGCCGAAACCAACATTGCATTCGGGGGAGGGGGGAGGTTACAATCATATTATGTTCTGCGTGGGAAATTTGTTGAAGGTTCCGACACCTGAAGGGGAGAGGGGGATGGGGCAACGAGCAGTTAGAGGGCGGGAAGCAGAGGAGAGGGGCAGAATGGGGGAGGGAGAGGGGTAGGGAAAGGGAGACTGCATGGAGTGGTCAAGGGGAAGAAAGACAGGAAAACACGGTACTGTGGCCATTGGCGCCTTCAGGTATGAAGGTCAGAACTGTGGAGGAAGGTACGTTTGTATCACGTCCCGCGGCCGTCTTCGGTGGCTGGGGGACAGGACGGAGATGAGAACGAGCAGAAGGCACGGGCTGGAGTCTTTGGAAGGTGGTGCGGGAGTCCTCCCCCCTGCCCTGCGCCCCCCCCTGCCCCCAGGACTCTGGACCTGGTGCTGAACTTCTTCACGGGCTCCCTGTCAGCCGAGAACCACCGGATCAGCGTGAACCTGAGGGAGCCCCCCTCAGAGCCCTGCCCCACACGCCCTCCCGCCCGCTTTTTCCCTTCCCCTCGTCTCCTCTCCTGCGTCACGTCTGGTTTCCCTTTGGCCTTGTTGTCGACGTGGGTCGCGTTCTCGACTTAACGACGTCGGCTGCGGCAGAGCTCTTCTATGCCATGCGATGCCGAGCTGTGCATAGCCGATGCTATGCATAGAGAGCACGCGGTGCAGAGTCTATGCATCGCGTTCTCTCTCTCTCTCTCTCTCTCTCTCGAGCGAGAGAGAGAGAGAGAGAGAGATCATTGCCCAGCTCGACATCCGAATGTGCGAATCGAGAGGAGATCTACGCAATGGTAAGGGATGGGAGGGAGGGGTAGGCCGTCAGATATGATGCTTGCGCACCTAGCTTGCCCTCGCCCCCTCTCCCTTCTGACTCCCTCCCGTCTCCATCCGCCTCTCTCCGCCTGGCCGTCCTCGCCCCTAACCAACCAACCAACCTCCTGGCCCCCCTCGCGCCTTACCAACCACCTCCTTGCCTCTCTCGCTCCCCCTGCCTCCCTGTCGCCTTCGTGCGCCGTCTGCCTATCCCTTCCTCTTGCTGCTGCCGCCCTTATGCTTCTGCCTAGCATTATCAGTGGTGGTGCTTCTTAATGCATGGATTTCGGAGTGTGCTCCATCCTTTGTATCATTAGCTCCGGAGGTGGGCCAGGGAGGAGGACGTGAAAGGCCAGGGAGGACGTGGAGGGAGGACGTGAAGGAGCAGGGGAGATGGGACAGGAGGAGGATGAGACGCAACACCTTTCGCGGGGCATGCGAGCCGGGGCCTTGCACGGGCGTGGAGTCTGCCAAACGTTGTCCTCTGCCTTTTTCTCATCACTCTGCTCCTGCCCGCCATCTCCTTCAGTAACCATGCGTTGCCTCCTTCCCGTTTCCCTCCGCATCCTTCTTTTACCTCTTCATATTATCCCTCTTCGTCGTCGCCCTCATCATAATCCTCCTCCCCCTACCCATCATCATCCACTATCTGTTATATACCGTCCACCATCCATCAGTCGCCATCCACCACCCATCACAAACATCATTACCACCAACACGATCAGATGCGTCCCACTATCTTCTCACACCATCATCATGATCATCATCATCGTCATCATCATCATCATCATCGTCATCATCATTATCACCACTTTCATCATCATAATCATTTTCCTCCTCCTCACCATCATTCGCATCATCACCGCAGCCACTTAGGCTCAAGTAATGTTTGGTGAAGGCCACTTTGCGCTACGAGCACTTTCGTGCGCAGTCCTTCACTGGGCGCTTAAACGCATGTTGCGGCCGAGTGCTGGATTCTGCAAGGAACGCCCCCCGCGCTAAAACGCTTAAGCGCTACGCAGTCCCCCCCCGGCCTCGACGTGCGTAGAGCCGGCGAAATATTCTGCAAGGAATCACGAGGTCGCGTAAACGCATGTTAGGCGAATGCTGGATGGGAATCACATCCTGGCACCCGTTGCGATGAAACGGCAGACTGCAGCGTCTGCCGCTGTCCCTACTGTTGAGAGAGAGAGAGAGGTGATCAAAGCGGTGATCGTCGAAAGGCCCAAGGAAGAGGTGATCAAGGAGGTGGTCATCGAAAACCCCATCCAGGTCTTGGTGATCTCCAAAGACGAGACGATCAAAGAAGTGATCGTCGAAAGGCATCGAGGTTCCTGTGACCCATGAGGAAGAGGCGATCAAAGAGACAGTTCCAGGGGGCTCTATCCCGCCTGCCAAAGTGGTAGACCTTCTGCAGAAGCAAGCGGACTTGGCTGCTGAGGCTGCGTGCGTGATCTTCGAGAATCATATTTTTGGCATGAAGCAAAAAACTCGGAAGCCCCGGGGCATCCAGCGGCAGCAGCACCAGCAGCAGCGACTCCAGCATCGAGTGCAGACTCAACAGCAGCAGCGGCAGTCCTGTACAAGCCGCTGTAGCATGCCAGGAGAGCCTTGCTTGCCAACCGAACAGCCGCAGCAGCAAAGTGAGAAAGTCCCACGGATCTTCCGAGAAGGGGGCTTGGTACACATCCCGGCGAACGCACCGCATTTCCGGCAGAAGGGAGTAGTCAAAGTCATTCAACAGAAAGGAGGTCCACATGGGTGGATCTACTAGCTTGCGTGGCCGCCAGGTACAGGGAGGATGCAGGATCAGCGCGAAGCATGCGAAGCGTATGAGGACCAGTTGGGTCTGAGGAGCGAGCAGAATGCGGGTTACCGACACGGCCGAGTTGTCGCCACGTGCTTCTGCTTAGCAACTTTAGCGGTGGTGCTCTTTGACGCATGCATGTCGGAATGTTCTCCAGTCTTTCTACCCTTCGCTGCGTGGGCGGGCCAGGGAAGAGGACGTCGAGGGCCAGGGAGGGAGGGCGTGGAGGGAGGACGTGGCGGAGGAGGGGCGAGTGGACGTCCGATTTTCTCCGTGCCTTTATGGTGCTGACTACGACATGCGCGCTCGTCTTCGGCGTTGCCCTCGGCGCCCGGGTCGGCTTGGCGCACTTTGCGCATGGTCGCCTGCCGCTTCTCGCCACGCGCGCGGCCGCTTCCAGGCGCGCCCGCCTCGCGGGGTTGCCCGGGCCCCCCGCGCGCGCCGCGACGTGGCGGTGGAGGCGCGGGCGCAGGACATTCTGGATTGGCGCGCGGCGGAGCCGGCGGCGCCCGCCTACGCCCCCCCCAACGATTCACGGAGACCGCGCGTCCGTCCATCGGCGCGCCAGTCGAGGCGTAGTCGATAGACACCCCACAGGGGAGAGAGCTGCGGCGTCGCGAGGATTGCGCGCGCGGCCAGTTTGCGAAATGCCGCTTCTGCTGCGCAGGCTGCGCCTCGCATCCGCGAGGTAATGATGCGCGTCCGCGAGGCTGTTGTCGCCGCGCGTGGTTCAGGGCCGCCGCTGCCGCTGCAGGTCCTCGCGAATTGTTGCGGCAGTTCGCCCAGCTGCCCGCCGCCCAGCAGCGGCGCGCCGGTTCGTTTCCGCGCGGCCGTTGGCTAGGTGCTCGGCCTCGCATCCCGCGAGGTTCAGACAACCCACTCCGCGTCGCCACCCCACTTCCGCCCGGTCCAGGAGTTGCTGCAGACCGCGGGGGGCTCTGACCAGTGGGCGCCGGCTGGAGTTCGGTGCGCCGACGGGGATCGCGCGCCCTGTCCGGCCAGAGGGGCGTCTCCCACTGGCGGGGTCGCCGAACGTCTTGAGCCCACTTCACTTACCTCCAATCACCCGTCCTTCGAGGATTCCGGCGGCGAGCTGGAGCCGCTCACGTTGGACTTCATACGGGGGCACTTGGGCAAGGGATGTGGCGAGGCATTCGACGACGAGGCTGTTGCTGCAGAGCGATTCGGGCCGATCTTCCCTGCCCCGCTGGGCAACGTTCGCAAGGCCTGGCCAGACGGCGCATGCAAGAATCGCATCGCGCAAGATCTCAAAGTCAATTGCATGAATTTGGCGGCGCCCACACATGAAAAGGGTGGTCTTGCCCAGGGGCATTGACCACGGGGCCGACCTGGCGGCGCTCGCCGGTCGGCCTCACCAGATATCAGGTGGACAGGTCCACGTTCTCATGTGTGATTTTCAGGGCGCCTTCATGATGATGCCGTTGCACGAAAGTGAACGTCGCTTCAGCGTCGCCGTGCTGCGCGATCCACCGTCGGAGGGGCGCGGCCGCGTCGTCGCGCGGCGGGCGTCGTGCTTCGGAGGGAAGTCGGCTCGTTCATTGCGCGTTTCATGCAGGCGACGCTGTGCCCCGACGAGTGCCTTCTACAGCCTTGCGTGGGCGACCCGGCGCTGACTCTCGCACGGCGACGAAACAGCTGAACGCCGACGTCGCCTTGCGCTGGCGGCTCGCCCTGGGGCCGGGGTTCGCCTGGGAGGAGGGCGCCCTCGCAGTCCGGTGGATTGGCAGCAGATTCGACATCGTAGGCGGCGTTGCGGAAATGTCTCTGCCGAGAGCCTTCCTCGATGGCGCCGCAGTCCTGGGGCGGCTCGCGAAGCGCGGCGGCTTGGCCCCGCCATCGAAAGCGCGATCCGTAGTCGGGAAAGCCCCCCGGATTGCGCAAGCGGTTATCTGTAGGGTCGTTATGGGTTGCGCTGGCGGCCGCGGAAGCGGCGGCCAAATCGGCCCGTCCCGAGGCGCCCCTGGGCCGAGTGGCGGTCCGCCGATTCTCGGCGGCTGCCGCTTGGCTTCTGGCTCTGACAGATTGGCGGAGCCGTTTTGCCTCTTGCGCCGAGTGGTGCGTGAATTTCCCGACGAACATCGGCTGCCTCAGGCGCCGAAGCCCATCGAGTTTGGCGCCTCTCTATGGGGCGGCGGCGGCGTCCTTGTCCGCGACGGGGAACCGATCCAATGTTGGCATTGCGCGTGGCCAGACTCGCTCGGTCGTCGTTTCGGCGCGGCCGTTGGGCCCCCGAGGTGGCAGACCCTCTGGGAGTGCGTCGCGGCGCTCGCGCGCCTGTTGGTCTGGGCGGGCGATTTCGCAGTAGGCCAGCGCTTGCGCCGATGGGCGACAACCTCGGCGCCCACGCAGGCGCGGCCCATGTCGCGGGCCGTCGCGAGTTCAACGCCGTCATGCGCGGGGGATGAGTTGGCGCAAAGCCACATTTCAATGGGGCTACGTTTTAGCCCACCTCCCGTTTGAGGCGAACGACTGGGCGAATTCTCCCTCGCGGCTCGCAGCCGCCCCGCCGATGCCCTTCCTTCAGGCGCGTCGGGCCCCTCAGGCTGCCCCCCCGCCGGCGCTCGGGATTGGCGCCGTGGCCCAGGTACCCAGGCTGGCGCAGCACCTGGCCGCGCGGCTATCCTGGCGCTGCGGGCTGGCGCGCCTGGCCGGCAGGAGGCAGGAGCATGCCCGAGGTCCCGTGCCGGACCTTCGGGGGGGATGGGCCCGCGCGCGTGCCATGGGCGAGTTTTCTCGGGCAGCGTGCGCGGATTCCTCCCGCGGGCCCATGGTGCCCGCGCTCCAGACCTGCGCGAATATGTTGTCCGTGTGC